TTATTTCTTGTCCTCTGTTAGTTTAGGGGTTGATTAGCTCTTGCTTTTCTTTATGATGTCAGGTTGTTAAATGAAAATCTTTCTAACTTTTTCATTTGAGCATTAAATGCTATAAATTTCTCTTTTAACACCATCTTACCTGTATTGCAACAATTCTGATGTGTTGTATTTTTTGAGATGGAATTTCGTTCTTGTTGCCCAGGCTGAGTGCAATGGCACGATCTCGACTTAACCTCCACCTCCTGGGCTCAGGCATTCTCCTACCTCAGCCTCTCAAGTAGTCGGGATCAGCCATTTGCCACCATGCCCACCTAATTTTTGTAATTTTAGTAGAAACGGGGTTTCACCAGGCTTATAAGCCTGGTCTTGAACTCCTTACTTAATGTGATTTGCCTGCTTCAGCCTCCCAAATGCTCGGATTACAGGCATAAGCCACCGTGCCTGGCCTGTTTTTCTGTTCTTCTTTGTTTAAAAGAACTTCTTGATTACTGTCGTAATTTCATTATTTACCAAAAAGTGGTTTAATTTTTATGTAATTGTATGGTTTCAAATTTTTTTTTTTTTTTTTTCTTTTTGAGACGGAGTTTCACTCATGTTACCCAGGCTGGAGTGCAATGGCGCGATCTCGGCTCACCGCAACCTCCGCCTCCTGGGTTCAGGCAATTCTCCTCCCTCAGCCTCCTAGTTTCAAATTTTAAATTTTTATTGAATTATATTTTTGTCAAGCTATGGTCTTTGTGCATGGTTGGTATAATTTTGAGATTTTTGAATTTGCTGAGGATTGTTTTATTTCTAATTGCTTCATCAGTTTTAGAGTATATGCCACGTGGTGATGAGAATTTATGTTATGGAATTTCTAGATGAAGAGTTCTGTAGATGTTTATTAGGAGTATTTGGTGAAGTGTTGAGTTTAGGTCCTAATATTTTGTTAATTTTCTTCCTCAATTATCTGTCTATGAGTGTCTGTGGAATGATGTATTCTCCCACTATTGTGTCAGAATATAAATCTCTATCGTCTCTGAAAACTTGCTTTATCCATGTGAACCCATGCATTTTATATAACACATTTCTCTTCTACTTTTCTTTCCACAAACATTCTTTCATGTGCACACAGTGTGCAAAATTTTGATGTCCAAGAGTTCAAGATCATATTTTGAGACCTGACTGATGTAAAGGAAAATATAGGCCGGGCGGGGTGGCTCACGCCTGTAATCCCAGCACTTCGGGAGGCCGAGGCGGGTGGATCACGAGGTCAAGAGATCGAGCCCATCCTGGTCAACGTGGTGAAACCCCATCTCTACTAAAAATACAGAAAATTAGCTGGGCATGGTGGCACGTGCCTGTAATCCCAGCTACTCAGGAGGCTGAGGCAGGAGAATTGCCTGAACCCAGGAGGCGGAGGTTGCGGTGAGCCGAGATCGCGCCATTGCACTCCAGCCTGGGTAACAAGAGCGAAATTCCGTCTCAAAAAAAAAAAAAAAAGAAAAAGAAAAAGAAAATATAAATTAGAAATAAGTTGCTTAATTAGTCTACATGGAAATAAGAAAAAATCTTACAAAAATCTTTTTTCTTAAAACATTTAGATTATGTATAGATTTTTATCTCCTTTTTTTTGAAATACATGTAAATCATATTAACAGCTAAACAAACCTTTTGTCAACTTTTTTGACTCAGGATTTTATTTATCTGGGACCTGAGATGAATTGCTTTGTTTTTGCTTTGGCAAAAGATTATATTTATGATGTTTAGTCTTAAAGTTGACAAAGATTTTTTCAGAGTAAAGGTCATTCCAAGAGCACACAAAAGATGAACAGAAAAATAGGATTAAATTTAGCAATATGGAATTATAAAGACTAAAAGATACTGAGTAAGTTGCTGGAGGGAAACCTGATTATCCAAGGTGCTTATTTGTAGGCTGAAGTACTTACTTATACTACAAAAGCAAAAATAATTCAGTTTATGGCTGGGCACGGTGGCTCATGTCTGTAATTCTAGCATTTTGGGAGGCCAAGGCGGGCAGATCACCTGAGGTTGGGAATTTGAGACCAGCCTGACCAATATGGAGAAACCCCATCTCTACTAAAAATCCAAAATTAGTTGGGCGTGGGGACGCCTTACTGTAATCCCAGCTACTCAGGAGGCTGAGGCAGGAGAATCACTTGAACCTGGGACGCAGAAGTTGCGTTTGTTATCATACTTTGGTTTCTATTTATTACTTCAGTACAATTAGCATAGTTATGTGTAGTATTTGTAGACAACCTGCATTCATATACATTCAACAGTATTTTCTACATTACTATGAATATAAAGCCACAATATTTACTTTGAATGAATTCCTTAGTTATTTTAATATTGTGATTCATACTTTCGAAATGTAATTTTTCTTTTTCTTTTCTTTTCTTTTTTTTTTTTTTTTCTTGACGGAGTTTCGCTCTTGTTACCCAGGCTGGAGTGCAATGGCACGATCCCGGCTCACCGCACCCTCCGCCTCCCAAGTTCAGGCAATTCTCCTGCCCCAGCCTCCTGAGTAGCTGGGATTACAGGCACGCACCACCATGCCCAGCTAATTTTTTGTATTTTTAGTAGAGACGGGGTTTCACCATGTTGACCAGGATGGTCTCGATCTCTTGACCTCGTGATCCACCCGCCTCGGCCTCCCAAAGTGCTGGGATTACAGGCGTGAGCCACCACGCCTGGCTGACATGATCAATCTTATGTCTAATCTCCGTTTTTTCTTAAGACAGTTTTAGCTTCTTTTTTTCTCTGAATATAATCTTGGAATGAGAGCTGTTTTTCTTTTGAATACTTTGTGTTTTAGACGCTCTATTAGTACTCCATAATGTCTGTGAAATACATGAGCTGTCACATTGAGAACTCTTGGAGCTATCTCTATCTGGATGCATGCTTGGAAATACAGCAGTATTTTTTTCATGTCACCATTATAAATAGAAACTGTGGCTTAAATAATGCTTTCGGCCGGTCGCAGTGGCTCACGCCTGTAATCCTGTCACTTTGGAGGCCAAGGCGGGTGGATCCCCTGAGGTCGGGAGTTCAAGACCAGCCTGACTAACATGGTGAAACCCCGTCTCAAAATAATAATAATAATAATAATAATAATGCTTTCATTCCCATTATTGTGAAGGTGCAGTTCTACACAGGAGGCCTGCAGTCTCTCCTCTTGCAGCTAAGTCTTTTTTTTTTTTTTTTTTGAGACAGAATCTCACCCTGTCACCCAGGCTGGAGTGCAGTGGTGTGATCTTGGCTCACTGTAACGTCCACCTGCCGGGTTCAAGCGATTTTCCTCCATCAGCCTCCAGAGTGGCTGAGATTAAAGGTACCCACCACTGTGCTTAAGTAATTTTTAAAAAATTTTTTTGTGGAGACAGGATTTCACCATGTTGGCCAGGCCGTTCTCAAACTCCTGAACTTGTGATCTGTCTTCCTTAGCCTCCCAAAGTGCTGAGTTTACAGGTGTGAGCCACCACACCCTGCTAGGCTTCACTCTTTGATGTGACACTAAAAGTGCTGCTGAGACAATTGGTGTTTACCTAAGATGTGAGCTGCCAGCTGTGAGCCCTGTGCTGTGTGCTGTACTTCAGTGTCAGATGCTAGAAAACAAAAGAGAACACTGGCCACCAGAAGAGGGGAAGCAGGAGTGCTCTAGCCCAGTCCTCAGGGAGTACAGAGCCACTGCTTTAAAATGCAAGTAACAAAAAAGATAGCACCCTGTTCAACCACTTTTGTAGAAGAGTGAAAGTCTACCTTAAGCAGGCACCTGGCTTCAAGTTGCAAAACTGCCTTCTGTCCTGAAGATGTGAAAAGCTTATTTTGTCATTGATATAACCAGTTAGCATACGCGGATGGCCTCCCCAAGGACCCGGTGAAGTTAGGATGAACTATGTATGACATGGTGCTGTAACTTCTTCTACTTGTGAACTAATTATGGTAACTGTCTTTCTCAAGCAGACTGACTGTAATACATGTGACATTCAGATTTAATTATGTAATGAAACAGTTTTCTTTCTGTTCTATTATTATGGTTTCTCTGGGGCTGAAAAAAATTTTTTTTAAATTTTATTTCCCAAATACTGTACAATTACCAGATACAATATAAACACCTAAGATGCCAATCAAGCTTTAGTCTAGAGAAGACTTTCCCTCTCAGGTTTCCAGTCAACTCACAATTATGCTGTAAAATGCATGCTGTCACCAAAATATGCAGGCAGAATTGTGTCTCTGCCTGAGAGTCCTCTACAGTCTCTTCTACAGGGGCTAGATCAGATTTCTACAAACTCTATAGGGCAGATGTTAATCATTTTACTTATTTCAGTGACTCTTGTATCATCAGACCTGAAACTGATTCTGAGAACTTGTAGCCCATAAACGCAATCAGAGTAATAGGTGTGCATCGAGTAGACATGGAAACATGAGAATCTCCACTTCTGTTTCCCTCCTCTCGATAAAATGCTCACAATTGCAGTAACATCTGCTGCTACTCCACCCATCCGGAACCTAAATCTGCAGGTCTAAATTCTAAATCTAAGTCTTGAAATAAAAAAATATATATATATTTTATTTGAGGAATGCAGGTCTTTTTACTTATAAAACTCAGAGATACATTAAAATAAGAGCACAAGTATGTCTTTCTCCCTTCTTTGAACTATGTATTCATCTCAAATCTGTTCACTATCCCCACAAGTAGGTATAAGTTAAACTAATAATGTCACACTGGACACTGAGTTTTATGCCTTTAGACTTAATGTACAGTCAATCAATAAAGTTATTTGTTTAAGAATTTCTCACAAAGAAGCTTGTATCAGCTCACTTTCTGTCTCTCTCCTTGTTTTTGCCTTTAGAAATCCACTTGTAACTGCTGCTAATCAAAGTGTAGATTCTAGATATTTTGCATATTTCTTCTCAAATTGCAATACTTAAGCTTGGCCCAAATAAACTGTCTACTTTATATTCATGTTGTGTCAGCTTTTTCTTTCTTTTTCTTTTTTTTTTGGGAACGCTTCACGAATTTGAATGTCATTCTTGTGCAGGGGCCATGCTAAACTCTGTATCGTTCCAATTTTAGTACATGTGCTGCCGAAGCGAGCACTCTTTTGTTTTTAAAGACGGGGTTTCACCATGTTGGTCAGACTGGTTTTGAACTCCCAACCTCAGGTGATCCGCCTGCCTTGGCCTCCAAAGTGCTTGGATTACAGGCGTGAGCCACCATGCCCGGCACATTTTTCTTTTGGTAAAATATTATTTAGAATTTTCTAGGCCGGGCGCGGTGGCTCAAGCCTATAATCCCAGCACTTTGGGAGGCTGAGGCAGGTGGATCACGAGGTCAAGAGATCGAGACCATCCTGGTCAACATGGTGAAACCCCGTCTCTACTAAAAATACAAAAAAAAAAATTAGCTGGGCATGTTGGACCACGCCTATAATCCCAGCTACTCAGGAAGCTGAGGCAGGAGAATTGCCTGAACCCAGGAGGCGGAGGCTGCAGTGAGCCAAGATTGCGCCATTGCACTCCAGCCTGGGTAACAAGAGCAAAACCCCATCTCAAAAAAAAAAAAAAAAAGTATTTTCTAGAACAGCCTCTATGAGAAGATCTCTTCTTTGATTGTACTCTACTTGCTCTAATAGCCAAAAATGCAGAGTGATGTCGATTTTATCTAGAATCTGCAAATAAGATCTGGCCTCTGCCTGGAATTTATAAAACAAGGCCGGAATTTAGATGGAGAATGTAGAGAAAACCAACAGGAGACATTTTCTGCGTTGTGAAATGTCAACATACACATTTGAGATCCCTCCTTAGAGAATGTGGCTCTTTTACCTTTTCACACCTTGCTTATTCACCTGCTACAGTTAATGTGAGAGGCATTACATGATTAAGAAAATGCTCATTTAAACAGGATGGCATTTATTACCCAGAAGGTTGTGAAAAAATTATCCTGAGATACCTGCTACTAATTAGTGTGCTAAAGAAAGACTACTTAAAATCACTATTCCAAATGGTAGAACATGGAAGATAACTGTATCTTGAACTTTCCATCAAACTGATGTTTTCTTATGGTTAAATTCAGACTGTAATTTACTTCAGTGTGGGCAATACCTCAGTGGAGATGCTGTGACCTTCTGGGCGTATCAGCACACTATAAAAACTTGTCCTAGCCGGGCGCGGTGGCTCAAGCCTGTAATCCCAGCACTTTGGGAGGCTGAGGCGGGTGGATCACGAGGTCAAGAGATCGAGACCATCCTGGTCAACATGGTGAAACCCCGTCTCTACTAAAAATACAAAAACATTAGCTGGGCATGGTGGCATGTGCCTGTAATCCCAGCTACGCAGGAAGCTGAGGCAGGAGAATTGCCTGAACCCAGAAGGCGGAGGTTGCGGTGAGCCGAGATCGCGCCATTGCACTCCAGCCTGGGTAACGAGAGCGAAACTCCGTCCCCCCAAAAAAAAAAAACAAAACAAAACAAAAAAAAACTTGTCCTAGTGCGGTTGCTCTTAATAACTCACTTGCTTAATAAGCTGTCTTACACATTTTTTCACTATATTAAGGTTTTCTTTACATTTATCTTTCTTTGGTAAATGAAAGCTCTCATTTTTGTTTACAGGCCAGAGAAACTGAAGGAAAAAAAAAAAAACACACAGGCTATTCCACTTACTGGATGTTTGACAAAATATTCTTTTGGGTCCAAAACATTGACAATACTGGTGAGCTTGTTAGAAATTCAGTAACTCAGATTTTATTTCAGGTCTCCTGAAAAAAATAATCTGTATTTACAAGATGTTCAGTTTATTATACACATTAAGATTTGAGTAGTACCTTCTAACTTCACATGTCTGTTTTTTTGTCTGAAAAATATAAATATGTCTTTTTCATTTGAAAAATATACACAACCCATTCTGTGTTATGTAAATATAACACTCAGATGTACATGTTAGTGTTTATGCCCTCAATTTTATACTTTATCATCCAGACAAATATCATATAAACACTGATGTGTGGATATCATGCCACTTTCTTTTCTCAGAGATAGTGAATATGTTACAAAATGTTTGTGCGTTGACAATTATTTTATTGGATAATTTCATTCACTCTTCTAAGTCAGAACCAGTTCTATTCACTTTCTCATTGTACCTTGAGTCAAATGAAAAATTCTGCTCGTAGCCACTTGGTAAATAACTGTGTTTGTTTGTGTTTTCCAGGAACCGTTGACATTTGGGGATGTGGCCATAGAATTCTCTCTGGAGGAGTGGAAATGCCTGAACCCTGCACAGCGGAATTTATATAGGAATGTGATGTTAGAGAACTGCAGAAACCTGGCCTTCCTGGGTGAGCGTAACTTTAATACAAAATTCCTAATATAAACTAAAGATTTCATTTCTCTTTTGTAGAATGTTCTCTGGTTATTTATGCTTTCAGATTTCTGTTTTTAAGAAAATCCTGGAGATTTATCTGTTTAGAAACTTCAGGACGTTTTATCTTGACCTGCACTTTCCACATTCCTGATCTGAGCTGTGTTCTTTACTTTAGTATTAATTTCAGTAGTTAAGTGGCATAAAATATTGTTATTCACACCTTAAAATCTAATTGCCATCACCAATTTTTGATTCAGTAGTACTAGGCAGTGAAATTAAGAACCTACGATATTGAAATACTTTGTAAATATTTAAACATTTCTGTTATAAGTTAGTATATTGGGATAAATTTATTACAGTATTCTATTATATCCTCTTTACTGAGCACATTACTAAGTTGGTAATTGGACAATATGAGCAAGACGCATGTTAGTTATTTGTAATAAGACAGGTATTGCTATCTCTAAGCCATACCTGATCACCTACATAGAGAAAGCAAAAGAGCCCTGGAATATGAAGTGACATGGGATGGTGGATGAACCCCCAGGTAGGTGAGAGTGAACACAACAGATGACATGGAGGAGAGGTCCAAAGTCAAGAAGAAAGCCAGTCTTTTTTTTTTTTTTGAGACGGAGTTTCGCTCTTGTTACCCAGGCTGGAGTGCAATGGCGCGATCTCGGCTCACCGCACCCTCCGCCTCCTGGGTTCAGGCAATTCTCCTGCCTCAGCCTCCTGAGTAGCTGGGATTACAGGCACGCGCCACCATGCCCAGCTAATTTTTTGTATTTTTAGTAGAGACGGGGTTTCACCATGTTGACCAGGATGGTCTTGATCTCTTGACCTCGTGATCCACCCGCCTCGGCCTCCCAAAGTGCTGGGATTACAGGCGTGAGCCACCGCGCCCGGCCGAAAGCCAGTCTTTAAAGTGATTTGGGAAGCTGTGTTCCAAAGAAAATAATTTCTGGGAAGCCTAAAATTTTTTTAAATATTATGCTCACACATATCTTCTGCTTATGCTTATAAAATCTCTAAGAATTCTACCTTCCCTTCAATGACCTTCCTTCAGGTTACAGTGACAGCCAAAGTACTTTTCATGGCATATAAAAGAGTGCACAATCTGGTGTCTTTTTTCTGTTTTTTGTGGACAGATAGATATCTGTATAATTTTGATATACTCTATGTTAAACTTATTTTTTTTTTTTGAGTCGAAGTTTTCACTCTTGTTGACCAAGCAGTGTCACGATCTTGGGTCACTGTTACCTCCGCCTCCCAAGCTCAAGTGATTCTCTTGACTCAGCCTCCTGAGTAGCTGGGGTTACAGGCACACACCACCATTGCTGGCTAATTTTTTGTATTTTTAGAGACGGGTTTCTCCATTTTGGTCGGGCTGGTGTCGGACTCCTGACTTCAGGTGATTCACTCACCTTGGCCTCCCAAAGTGCTGGAATTACAGGCGTGAGCCACCGCATCTGGCCTAAGCTATTTTTTAAATTCTCTTTTAGCATCACATCTGAAATGCATGAGAATAGTGGTTTCTGTTTCATTGGCTTGTTTTGTTTATTTTTCTTCACATTTCATTCTGTTTTTATTACTATGGTCTTGAAATATAGTTTGAGCCGGGCGTGGTGGCTCATGCCTGTAATCCTAGCACTTTGGGAGGCTGAGGTGGGCGGATCACTTGAGGTCCTGAGTTCGAGACCAGTCTGGCCAACATGATGAAACCCCATCTTTAAAAAAATAAATAAGTAAAGTAAAAAAAAAAAAAAAAAAAAAGGAAATATAGTTTGAAATTATAAAGTATGATGTCCTTCTGCATTGTTCTTTTTCCTTAAGATTGCTTTGGCTACTCAAAGCTTATTGTAGTTTCATGTACATTTTAGAATTGTATTTTTCATTACTGTGGAAGAAAAACACTGGAACTTTGATAGGGAGTTTATTGAATCCATAGATCAGTTTAGTTAATATGGGAGTTTCACAATACTTACTATTTTGATAGAAATAAAATATTTCAAAATTTATTTGTGTCCTCTCTAATTTTCTTCATTGATACATCTTTCTTTTTTTTTTTTTTTTGGAGACGGAGTTTCGCTCTTGTTACCCAGAGTGGAGTGTGCAATGGCGCGATCTCGGCTCACCGCAACATCCGCCTCCTGGGTTCAGGCAATTCTCCTGCCTCAGCCTCCTGAGTAGCTGGGACTACAGGCACGCGCCACCATGCCCAGCTAATTTTTTGTAGTTTTAATAGAGATGGGGTTTCACCATATTGACCAGGATGGTCTCGATCTCTTTACCTCGTGATCCACCCGCCTCGGACTCCCAAAGTGCTGGGATTACATACATCTTTCATTTAAAAAATTTATGAGCTCCTTGGTTAAATTTGATCTAAAATTGATTATTACTATTGGAAATAAAAATTTTTTTTTCTATTTTATCAGATAGTTTAAGTGTGTGGAAGATATCTTATAATTGATTTATATTTTGCTAATTAACTGAGTGTATTCATTAATTTAAACAGGTTTTAATATACTGTTTATAAGATTACATGATCTACAAACAAACATTTTACTTTATTGGTCTTCAATTTAATGACTTTAAATTTTTCTTTTGATTATTCTTTCATATAATTTCAGTGCTATGTTAAAATAGAATCATTGACAATAAGAAACAGTAGTTGGGCCGGGCGCGGTGGCTCACGCCTGTAATCCCAGCACTTTG